TATTCTCCTGTATAGGGGGGCACGCCCGACCTAAACATAAACTTTTGGCGCTCCGCGCGGATTCCTTGGATCGGCGCTGGGCCCCCCCCCCGCTGTCTCCTCCCGCGCGCTCCGCGCTCCGCGCGCCGGGGAGGGGGGTCCGTCGCGGGTCCGAGAAATCCGCGCGCCAAAAGTTTCTGTCTACAGTGCCGTTTTAAATCAATGCTCCGCGTGCGGATCATGTATATTAAAATACAGGGATTTACTATTAAGAACAACGATGAGTTTATGCATACATGTATTCATACATTAATCGTGTATTAAAAAATATGTTTTAACCAATATTAAAAACTGCCCTGTATGTGGTTTTGGTTCCTCTGTGGGAGGCTCCCCGAGGCCAGAACCCCGCCGAGGCCCGACGATGTCTTTCGAAACCGCCGTGCCTGGGCACCACCCGGGGGTGACGCGCGCGCGCTCGGAAGTCTCAGAGTACAAGCTGAGTGCAAGCTCCGTGGCTGGCGCTGTCTGGCCATACCGCTCGGGGCATGACGTGCTGCAAGCTTTGTTTGCTACATGTTCGGGTCGGTCGCCCGCCTCCAACAGAGGCACGTAGCACCAGCCTGTCATTGTGCGTCACGTGGATGGGCGATTTTCTCGTCATGTGGGCTGTCAGCTTCGGGCACCTACTGCACGGCGAGCTCCTGATTGCCGCGCCGCGCCGCTGGTGCACGTGCGTGCCCGAACCCGGACTGCGGGCGCGCTGCACCGCTGCCTGCGACATTGGTCGGCCTGCTCCCGAGGGCACGTGGAGCTCGGCTCGTACTCTGCTCACTTTACGACCCGATCCGGGTTGTGCGCATTGCCCGTGGCCCGTGCCGAACCCCCCCCCCTTGAGGAGGACGCCGCGGCTGTGCAGGAGGGGCGCCTCTTCCGGGTGCTGTGCACCTACCTGCAGCAGGAGTTCGGGAGGCTGGACCTCGACGAGGAGGCCTTGCCGCGCGCCGCCGCCCACGGAGCTTCCGCGGGCAGGAGGGGCGAGGAGCGAGTAGCGAGGAGCGGGGAGGAGGAGGAGGAGGAGGAGGAGGAGGAGGAGGAGGAGGAGGAGGAGGAGGAGGAGAGGAGGAGGAGGAGGAGGAGGAGGAGGAGGAGGAGGAGGAGGAGGAGGAGGAGGAGGAGGAGGAGGAGGAGGAGGAGGAGGAGGAGGAGGAGGAGGGAGGAGGAGGAGGAGGAGGAGGAGGAGGAGGAGGAGGGAGGAGGAGGAGGAGAGAGGAGGAGGAGGAGGAGGAGGAGGAGGAGGAGGAGGAGGAGGAGGGGAGGGGAGGAGGAGGAGGAGGGAGGAGGAGGAGGAGCAGCAGCAAGAGCAGCAGCAGCAGCATCAGCAGCAGCAGAGGGAGGAAGATGATGATGATGAGGAGGAGGAGGCGCAGGAGGAACGATGAGGAGGAAGAGAGTCCTCCTCCTCCTTCTCATCCTCTTTCGCCTCCTCTTTCTCTTCTCTTTTTCCATCCCCATCCCTTCTCCTTCCGATCTTCCTGCTCTCCCTCTTGGAAGAGGCAGCGGGGGAGGAGGAGGCGGCGAAAGGGGAGGAGCGACGAAGGAAGAGGGAGGCGGAGCCGCAGGAGGAACGATGAGGAGGAAGAGAGTCCTCCTCCTCCTTCTCATCCTCTTTCGCCTCCTCTTTCTCTTCTCTTTTTCCATCCCCATCCCTTCTCCTTCCGATCTTCCTGCTCTCCCTCTTGGAAGAGGCAGCGGGGGAGGAGGAGGCGGCGAAAGGGGAGGAGCGACGAAGGAAGAGGGAGGCGGAGCCAGATGAGGAGACGATTCACCAATCAACGCAGTGGGTGGGTGCATCATTTGCCAAGCGCAAGCCTCATCCCTGATGGTTTCCTCCGCCCCTCTCCCTCCTTCCCCTCCCCCTGCCGCTCCTCCCCTTGCTTCGTCGCCTGCCTGTGCCGAGCCAGAGCGGGGCGCACACGAGCCGCGACCCTCTCCCCGAGCGGCCGCCACCGCCGGAGGAGCGCGCAGCAGGTCACGCCTGCGGTGCCTCGCGGCCTCGCGGTGCCCCCCCCCCCTCTCTTCTCTTCCTCCTCCTCCTCCTCCTCCTCCTCCTCCTCCTCCTCCTCTTCCTCCTCTTCTTCCACCTCTGTCTCCTCCCCTCCTCCATCTCCTCCTCCTCCTCCTCCTCCTCCTCCTGCTTCCTCCATCTCCTTCTCCTCCTCCTGCTCTCCTCCTCCTCCTCCTCCATCTCCTCCTCCTTCTCCTCCTCCTCCTCCTCCTCCTCCTCCTCCTCTCTCCTCTTCGGGGCATGCGGGCCACGCGCCGCACGTGCCTGCGGCTGTGCCGCTGCCTCCCCTTTCCGCGCGTGGCCTGCCCGACGCGCAGCACCGCCCGCGCACGCACCGCGCCCGAGGCTCAAGTCGGGCGTGTCCCTCTACAGGAGGAATATTCAAAAATAGTCAAAAGTAGTCAGTGGACTGTGTTTTAAAACTACTTTCGAGTTTTTTTTTTTTTTTTTTTTTTTTTTTTTTTTTTTTGTTTTTCGTCCAAAATCCGCTTGTAGGGGGACACGCCCGGCCTATAACCCGAGGCGCAGCAGACGTCGGCATTTGAACAGCGGGAACGCGTCTGGATGTCATCGCCTGCTGTTGGCCACAGGTCGCTGAATGTGTGACTGGACTGCGTATCCGCCACGGCGCATCTCCTGCTGCGTGAAGCCGGTTACGCCCAAGGCGTTGCAAGCCTTATTCGCGGCGCCCCCCGTGGTTCGAATGCTCGCACACGACTGTTATCCCAGACGAATTCTGTTACCCCGGACGAATTGTGTACCTGTCCCAGCTTCGTCTTACAGAATTCCCGATGCCGTTGCTCGCACTTGAGGGCCCGCTTCGCCGTAACCCGATTCTCCACGAACTTTTGGTCAGAGTGCACCCTGGGCGGGGTCCGGGGGGCAGCCGTATCGGTGCCTTTTTGTGCCCCCTCAGAGCCTGGGGAGGTTGCATCGCGTCCCGATGACACCGCCTCCTGGTAGGCGGACCTGAGACGAGGGAAGTATACTCAGATAGGCGCAGGACAGTGGCAGCGACGGAATTCTGCTTTGAATGCGCCCCTGGCGAAGTCCGGGGTGGTAGCGTTAAGTCGGGCATGTCCCTGTACAGGGGAAATATTCAGAAATATCCAAAAATGATTAAGGCACGACTTTCCGACTATTTTTGACAATTTTGAATGCTTCATGGGTATTTTTTATTTTTCGCCCAAAAGTCGCCTGTAGAAGGACATGCCCGACCGAAGGGTAGCGGTCTCGGTGCATCATTTGCCGCCAAGGATTCCCTGAGGCCCGAGGGGGGGGTGGCGCGCCTTCTCTGCCGCACGGGCCTGGAAGAGTGGCTCGCCGCACGCGCGAATCCCCCGAGGCAACTTTACAGTCAAACGCGTAATCTAGAAATCTTCAAAAATAGTCGAAAAACAGTCTGGAGACGATTGTTCTACCATTTTAGACTCTGTTTGAACATTTTGTTGACTATGTCTTATTCTTCGTCCAAAATCCACCTGTAGGAGGACACGCCCGACCTGAGCATAATAAGGATGTGCAACTTTCCAAGGTTACCTCAGCACCCTTGCCCCTTCGGCCCCTCGGCAGTTCTCGCTGGCCATCCTGTTCGAAGAGCGTCGGTAAAGCTCTCCAAGGCCCTTGCATCCTTACCGCTCATCCTTGTGTTCTTCGTTCTTCCCGGGCCCCGCCCGCTCCGGCCGCCTGAGGCCCCGCCTTCCTGTGCCCTGTCTCCCTAATTAAAGCTGTGCGTAGCCCGCCCAGATCAAAAATTGTGTTCTTCGTTCTGACTGTACTCTCTAGGGGCGGCGCCCCTCTCCTGGGCGACTCACATCAGCACAGCTACACGGGGCCCCCTGAGGCCCGACCTCATCCCCAGGGCCGGCTCTTCGACCTCGAGCCCCGTGGGCCCGGCGAGGGCCCGAGCGGCGGAGCACCGCGAAGAGCTTCCGGGGGCAGTCCCCGGGCCTCCGACAGGACCGTCGACGACGAAGGCATCTATACACCACCACCGTGCCAGGCCAGGGCCATCCTGGGCCGTAGGATGGTGTATAGACCCTCCTGGCTCGGCCAGGAGGGCGTATACACCATCCTAGGGCCCAGGATGGCCCTGGCCTGGCACGGTGGTGGTGTATAGATGCTTTCTGCGTAGCCGTCACCGTGCCGGCGCAGCATTTTGCGTGGCGGCCCCTCGCCGGGGCATTGGACGCCGTCCTGCGGTGACACTGCGGGCCTCGCTGAAGGCCCCCCGCGTGGGGTTGTTTGGTGCCTCCGCGCCACGATTAGGGGAACAAAAAGTGGCATAAACATAAAAACTCGGAGGTCCGCGCGGACCTCCGAGTTTTATGTTAATGTCATTTTTTGTTCCCCGAACGATCTTCCACGGCGCTGGTGGGTCGGCGAACACACCGCGGTGGGCCCCGATGCAAAAAATGCGGTGCGAGCACGCCTGCACACCTCTGCCGCGCAGAGGTGGCTCCGGAGTCGCCGCCCTGCGACGGCATGGGCTCGGCAGCATCCTCCGTTGGGTATCGTTTAGCCGATCCCCATCCCCCTCCCCATCCCCTTCGAGACCCCCACCAAATTACCACCCCAGTTGGGGATACACCCCTCGAAGGCCGAAGGGAACGACCTGTATCCCCATCTAGGGGGGTGAATCGGCCAGTGGGGCCCAGGCCACGCCGCTGGGGATGGGGATCGGTGAAACGATGCTCATCCGCAGCTTCCGCAGTGGCGGAACTGGCGGCCCAGGCGCCAACCAGAGGAACCCCGACCCGCCAAGCCAGAGGGAGTTTCGGTTGCGTCGTCGTCGTCGACGTCGTCGTCGTCGTCGTCGTCGGCGGCGGCTCTTCGGTCGCTTCGGCTGCGTCGCAGCCGGCTGCGCTTGACCGGTGCGGTTCGGTCGGCTGCCGCGTCGCTGTAGCCCTGCTCGGTGGCCCCGTGGCGGTCGCCGCGGCCGGGCGGCCCCGCCCAGGCCCAGACCGCCGCCTTCGAGGTGGACGGCACGAAGGTCGCCGTGGACTTCGGCCAGAGGAGCGTCGCCTGCGAGAGCGAG